TTGAATTTTTAAAATTTAAAAGTAACTTCTCATATTTGAAGTATCCCACACCTTTGCTCACGTTCTCCACAACTATTTATTTTCCTACCCATTTGCCATGGAGTATATAGCGATACAGATCAAACTAAATAAGATATTAAAAACGAAAAAAATATGTCTGTTTTTCCAATATCTATCTAGTTATAACTATTTTTTTAAGCATGTGAACGAAAGTAAAAATAAAATAAAATAAAAAAGAATCGTACACAATTGAAAAAAATAATTCAAAAATACATATGTAAAATATTTAAATTTGTATTACTTTTATAGTATTAAACTTCTTTATCCTATTAATTTAAAAATAATATATTAATTATTATATAATTAGTTTAAAAATTTTAAAATCCTAATAATATCTATGATTGTTAAGTTATATGTATTACTAAATAATAAAATCTACATGATATTTATAAAAAAGATTAAACAAAACAAAATAAAAATCCATAAAATAAAAAATAGGCTCATAATAAATCAAAGGAATAGAAGATAACCCGTTCTTTTCTTTTTAATTTATAAAATTATATTTGAGAAGTGAAAATATTAGAATAATATTTGGTGTCTTTGAGAAACTCATCTTTACTTTATTAGGATAAATTTTTGTAAGTATCAAGTGTTCATTATTTGAAATCAGAACATAGTATATTATTACACATGCACTTATGTTAATAATAATTCATATTATTCATAGTAATTTTTTAAATTGAAAAATTATTATATTTTAAAATATCCACGCAACGCATGGGTACGTATGCTAGTTAATAATAAAGATAAATTAGAAACTAAGTGTGAAATTATCCATTAATTTTATAAAGTAGACAAGTATTGTTATAGTGAACGGAGAGAATAGTTAAACCACATATCATGGAGCCAACGATGCAAATCCCAAGTCTCATGGTTGATACTCCCATACAAATAGGGAAATATTTATGACACACTCTGTCAGATAAGATATTTGATCTCCATCTCTATTATTGGATATTTAGTTTCCCTTGTGATTTTTCTATATACATAACAATAATTTTCCACGATTGTACGTGTTCTTTAATTTACAGGTTTTAACATTTGGTGTATCTATTATTTTTTTTAACCTCCACTTCCCAACATCAATTGTCTATCCATATTACTTAATTAGTTTCCAAATACTTGACTTTTTGTAAGAGAGATAAATGATATTTTATTACTCCTAATTTATGGGAAGGGATTCAATATACAAAAGTTAAATCACTTAATTTCGATTATAAAATTTACATATACTGTTTTTTCTTCAAATGTTTTGAAATGAAAATTACATGAAACATACTATGTTAACATAAATAATGATTCAAAATATTTAAAGAAAGTTTGAGGAAATTACATTGTCAAAGAAAATTTTTAAACATATTCTACCCATCCCCAAACAATAACAATTTTACATAAAGTGGGACGGGAGAGAAACTAGTTTAGGTTTTTTTTTTTGGGTTAAGACAATTAAATATTACCTCTGATCATTTGACTTGTCATATTTTTTTCTTGCATGTTCCTTAAGAAAATAATAATTGATGGAGTAATTTGATTAAATTATCCTTAGTTATTTTTTGATTTCAATTTAATACTCCATCTTTTCAAAATAGTTATACATTTCGCTTCTTGAAAGTCAATTTGACTATTTTTCAAAGCTAAATTAGATTAGATTGATTCAATATTTTGAAATTAAAATTTAAATATTCAAAGACTATCACTACAACAAAAACACCTTTTAGCGGCAATAAATATACACATTAACAATGAGTTTCAAAGTCTTTACCGGCATTAGTTAATTATTATTGGATTCAGTGTCGCTAAAGGCTTTAGGGACATATATAAAGAGTGTTAATTGCCGCTAAAAGTACATATTTAATTGTAATAAAGCTATTGCCGTTAATTAATTGCCGTTAAAGATCATTTTTGATGTAGTGTATATGAAAAGTATTATAAATTGCAATATTTCTCATATCAATTTGGTTAAAATATATCCTTACATATTGATCAAAATTCATATCGTTAGACTCTTAAAATGAAAATTATAAAAAAAATACCCTTTTTTCACTAAATTTATTGAGTAAAGATAAAATAAAATAAACAATTTATCATCCCTTAATTTTCAAAATAATAATTATTTTAAACCAACTATTTTTAAGAAGCACGATAACTAAAATATTCTTAAGGTTTAAGTGGTGCGATTACCTTTCAATAATACTTTATATATTCTCGGAACTCGTAGATATTAAAGAAGAGGGTGGGAAGTAGAGCATACTAAAATTATTTCCTAATCATAAAAGCCTATTATTTTAATTATTAGTATCTGTCACATCTTTACTTGTTGTAGCAGAATTACCATATTATAACAAATATTTAACAAAATAATTAATAAAAAAATGATTTTTTAATTCCTATAATAAAAAAAAGTCGTCCAAGAGATCTCCTTGCTTGATATATACACGTAGACAGAATTTTTTTTATATTATAATATATATACTATGGAGGTTGGAGAGTATAGTATTTATTACCCATATATCCATGCACATAATTTCAGGGAAAATACATTAAAAGCTTAAGCTAAATCTTTGAAACTATCTTAGTTTTTCTCCCAAATATGGGTTCCAATAATAATGTTGTTTTTGGTGATGAAGAAAGTCAGCTTTCTTGTGGGACTAATAAAGTTCAACCTTGCTCTTCTACACCAAAGAAGTATGTCAAATTAGTTTCTTCTTTGATTTATTATATCATCTTTCCTTTAATTTCTCCTAATTAGTTATGTATTTATTTAGCAGGAGTACTATTGATGATGAGGGAAAGAAGCCAAATTTTCTTTCATTCTCTGAAAGACTTGGTGTTCCTGACTTCTTTTCTTTGGATGTTAGTAATACATTTTGATTTCATCACTAATAAATAAATCGATTATCGTCAGTACATAAAAATTGAACTTTTTTTCTTCTTATATAGGTATGGAGAGCGTCAATTGGAGAACTTCTAGGCACAGCGGTTTTTGTTTTCATGTTGGATACAATAGTAATCTCCACCTTAGAAAGTGACACGAAAATGCCAAATTTGATCTTGTCAGTTCTCGCAGCTATTATAATCACAATCCTACTCTTGGCGGTTGTTCCGGTGTCTGGAGGCCACATTAATCCGATTATCTCCTTCTCAGCCGCGCTCGTCGGAATTATATCCATGTCAAGAGCCATAATTTACATAATGGCACAATGTGTTGGTGCAATTTTAGGTGCACTAGCTCTCAAAGCAGTGGTTAGTTCAACAATTGAAGGAACTTTCTCACTGGGTGGTTGTACTGTAACAGTAATTGCACCAGGCCCAAATGGGCCCATTACTGTGGGCCTAGAGACGGCCCAAGCGTTATGGCTAGAGATATTTTGTACATTTGTTTTTCTCTTTGCTTCAATTTGGATGGCTTATGATCATCGACAAGCTAAGGCTCTTGGACACGTCACTGTGTTGTCCATTGTTGGTGTAGTGTTAGGCCTTCTAGTGTTTATCTCGACCACGGTCACCGCCAAAAAAGGCTACGCCGGGGCAGGGATAAACCCGGCGAGGTGTTTCGGGCCCGCTATTGTTAGAGGAGGTCACCTTTGGGATGGACATTGGATCTTTTGGGTTGGGCCAACTATTGGTTGTGTAGCCTTTTATGTGTACACAAAGATCATTCCAACAAAGCATTTCAATGCAGAATATGAATACAAGCATGATTTTGTTGGAGTTGTTAAGGCTTTGTTTGGGTCGAATGTATAAAGGCCCAAATACAATAATGGGCCTATTTAGCTTTATTGACCAGACTCAATAATGGGCCTACCCAGTACCCACTCAATGTAATTTAAAGCTTAAATTTAATTTTATCAATTATGTATCAATAAGGTTTTCTTTCTCTTTCTGTTATAGAAATTAATATTAGTTAATGAAGAAACTAAATTATCATTTGTCATTTACATATTCAAGTAATTGGCTGATTGACTAATTAATTGTTAATTGATGGGAAATGCTAAACAGATGAAGAAGGCTGGTCGAAATAATCTCTTACATACATTTATAACTTTAATTATAAAAAATGATATTTTCTGATCTCTTATGTATAAAAATAAAATTTATTATAAAAAGACATAAAATTAAAAACAAATTTATTAAAGACTAAAATTTCATATCTCCCAAAAGCGCTAAAGAGACTGCCCATACATGCATTCTGTCATTTCAAAAATCCCTCGTAGGCATGTTTGTATTAATATAATATAAATATTAATCATTACTTCTCTTTTTTAGTGGAAACATAACATATATAAAATATCTGTATTGATCAATGATCACTCTCTCAATTTTATATACGATCATGTTTGATTGAGTATGAAATTTCAAAAACTAAAGAAGAATTTTATGTAAATCAAATATATCTATAAAATATTATATTATAAATATTAAATAGGTGACGATGAAAACTTCACATACTTTTGAGAAAATGGCCAAATGATCCCTCAATCTATTAGTCAATTCTCAACTAAACACTAATACTTTTCGGAGGGGTCCTATTACCCTATTTTATTTTAGTGGAGCTATTTTGTTAAGTGTCTGCCTATATATAAGCTTGAAGTTACGAAGGAAAGGAAACAGTTTTTCCAGCATTTGTTTTCCTCTTTTACGTACTTCTTATTTTCACTTTTTAAGAGTATACTTAATAGTTTTGAGTGCCAATAGTGCATATTTAACAAAATGAATTGACGACTCCAATAAAATTGGCTTAAGAGATCTCCTTTGCTTGATATATATACGTAGACGTAACTTTCTTCTTTTCTTGTATTTAGTAACAACAAAAAGATAGGTTAGGCAGTGGTAGTTGGAAAGTAATATTTATAACCCCATATCCATGCACAATATTTCAGGGAAAATGCATTAAAAGCTTAAGATAAATACTTGCAACTATCTTAGTTTTCTCCTAAAAAATGGGTTCCAACAATAATGTTTTTTTCGGTGATGAAGAAAGCCAGCTTTCTGGTGGTACTAATAGAGTTCAACCTTACTCTTCCACACCAAAAAAGTATGTGTGAAATTAATTGCTTGTTTGATTTGTTATCATCTTTCCTTTAATTTTGTCAGGTTTGACTTCTCAGATGGTCACTCAACTAATATTTATTATCTCGCTCTTATTATTAGGAATACTATTGATGATGACGGAAAGAAGCAAAATTTTCTCTCACTTTCACAAAGACTGGGCATTCCGGACTTTTTTTCTTTGGATGTTAGTAATATATTTTGATTTCAATCACTAATTAATTGACCATATTTGTGGGTGCCTAAAAATTGAACTTTTTTTAATATAGGTATGGCGAGCGTCGATGGGAGAACTCCTAGGCTCAGCGGTACTTGTTTTTATGGTGGATACTATAGTGATCTCTACTTCCGAAAGTGACACTGAAATGCCAAATTTAATCATGTCAATTCTCATAGCAATTGTGCTCACAATTCTACTCCTGGCGGTTGTTCCAGTGTCCGGAGGCCATCTCAACCCGGTTATCTCCTTCTCAGCCGCGCTAGTCGGAATTATATCTATGTCAAGAGCCATAATTTACATTGTGGCTCAATGTCTTGGTGCTGTTTTAGGTGCACTAGCTCTCAAAGCAGTGGTTAGTTCAACAATTGATGAAACTTTCTCACTTGGTGGTTGCACTATCACAGTAATTGCACCGGGCCCAAATGGGCCTGTTATTTTGGGCCTAGAGACAGCCCAAGCCTTGTGGCTAGAGATCTTTTGTACATTTGTTTTACTCTTTGCTTCAATTTGGATGGCTTATGATCATCGACAAGCTAAGGCTCTAGGCCTTGTCAGTGTCTTGTCCATTGTTGGTCTAGTCTTAGGCCTTCTAGTGTTTATCTCAACCACGGTTACCGCGAAAAGGGGCTACGCCGGGGTAGGGATGAACCCGGCAAGGTGTTTGGGGCCCGCGATTGTTAGAGGAGGTCACCTTTGGGATGGACATTGGATCTTTTGGATTGGCCCTACTATTAGTTGTGTAGCCTTTTATGTGTACACAAAGATTATTCCACCAAAACATTTCCATGCAGAATATGGATACAAACATGATTTTGTTGTAGTTGTCAAGGCTTTGTTTGGGTCGAATGTATAAAGGCCCAGATGCAATAATGGGCCTATGGTGTATTTAGTTTTGGGCTTCTTTTATGGGCCAATAATAAATGTGTAATAGGACTTGAGTACTAAGTACTCGATGTAAAATGTTTCAACAAGGTTTTCTCTCTCTTTTATATAAGATCATGGAAAAAAATACCTAAATACACAATTTATTTTACCATATTCTCTAAAATTTCTCACAGTTTAAAAAAATTACAAAAATTCCTACTCTCTCTTATTCTCAGATACATCACTTTACGTGATGTATTGGGGTATGATACATCACTTTATGCGATTTACCGGATTGGATGCATAACTTTACGCGATGAATCGGGGTTCAATGCATAACTTTACGCAATGTATCAGTCGGATACATCACTTTATACGATGTATTTGGGCATACGCGATGTACCAGGATGTTGAATGATGTATTTGAATTTGAGACGCGATGTATCAGGATATTGAGCAATGTATCCGAAACCGGAACGTGATGTATTGGAAAGATTTTTGGGATGTACCTGAATTTCATCAAATTTATTTTTGTAATTTAAATAAGAGTAGGAATATGATGCAATTTGCTCCTAATACTTCAAAATTTGCGTAAAATTTCATTGTTTAAAATGTCTATATATATATATATATATATATATATATATATATATATATAACTGTTTAATCAACTTGTAATACTTGATCTTGTGATGTAGAACTTAAATAACTATAAATAATGAAAAAATTGGACAAAATATCTATTGAGTAAAAATTGCTTATCAAATATTATAAATTACTGATTTCAGCCAAAGTGCACTTTGCACCTTATCTATTGAGTCGAAATTTCTTATCCAAACATTTTTTTCTTTTACTTCTTTTGTTTTGTATTTTATTTTAAGCATTTCAATTTATAATAATTTTCACATTCCTATATATGATAAATTTTGAAATCTATATATAAATGTTAAATATACTTTTAGAATTTTGAATAATACACGTAACATTTTCATAATTATATTGAAAAAAGTTATCAGTTCATTGAGGAAGATAAATCATTGTTGTAGAAGTATTATATAAATAGTGTATGAGGGTATATATACATCTCTGATACATAGTTATACATCATATATACACAATTATACAATATTGAGTTATTGACACATTACATATACATATGACTATTTTATAAATAAAAAATGTTATCTATACAATTACATAATTAAGTGGGTAAGAATTTACTTGAGGCTAAGTTTAAGTAGTAGTGTATCTTAATGTATTTTCCTTTAAAATATATAAAGAATACCTGTTGTTATACGATTGGATGGTTTTATTTATTTTCCTAAAATATATGAAGATTAATAACCAGTGTGTGTTGCATTGCTTAAAGTTTGTTTTCTCTCTTCTTTCTTTGAGGGATTTTCATATTGGGATTTCAAGATTTTCCTATGATACCCACTAATTGTGTCTTAGGTTCTTAAGGGCTTTATGTTTGAGAATTTGACTTCTTACGTGAGCACCCCATGAGTGTTGACATAGCTATCTTATAAAGAACTTTGCTCAAAATGAACCTAAACATTATTTTACTTGTCTTTTTAAATGTGCCTAAATATTGATTTCAAAGGCTCATATTTCTTTGTCAAGCAGACTACATAGTTTCTCTTTTGTAATCTAGTTCAGTTTTGCTCTATCATCATCATATTTATTCAATTACAAATTTTTGGTGTTCATCTTTGTTTGCAGGCTGCTGACTTCAATGTCGAAGATGCTCAGCAAGGGGTTGTCTACAAAGATGAAGTTGATAAAATAACCAAAAAAGTCCAAAAATTATTATCTACTTTATGAATTTGGATAATTGACTTTAAGGTAGTCATTCTCATCAGTCATCTGTATAGGTTGAGAGTCTTAACATTGACTATTACTCGTGTAAACATGTTTACAAATTCATATTTGTAGTTCCTTGACTTCAAATGTGTTCTCTTTTGAAGTATTTTTCGGAGATCAATAATCTCACTTGCTGAGTTTATTTTATTTCTTCTTCAGATTGTAAGTGTACCCGACAATAGAGTATGAAAGCATCCACGTGGCGATCTATTCAGGTATAATGAATCTCTTAAAATCTCTTTTATCTAATTTTTCTTTTCAAAAAATGCAGGCAAACAATTTTGTGAGAAATATATTACCACTGGCTATTTGGATGGTGATATAGGGTGTGTTAGTAGGAAGGAAAATCTTTTCCATGGAAAATGTTTTTCTCTAAAATAAGTTGATTTTTGACTTATTTTCTCATGTTTGGTTGGTGAGTAGAAAATATTTTTCGAAAAAGATTTTTAGTGTTTGATTTATGAATGATTTTTTTTTGAGAAATATCTTTATTTTTACTAGGGTAGAAAACAATTTTTTGAAATTGAAAATATTTTTTAAAAACAAACTTAAATTTTTTTTGGGGGTGGGGTGGGGTGGTGGGGGTGGTAGGGGGTGGGTTAAGGGTAGGGGTGAAAAATTGAAATTTGAAGTTGAAAATATTTTTTAAAAACAAACTTAAATTTTTTTTGGGGGGATGGGTGTGGGGGTCGAGGGTTCGGGTGAAAAAAAAAAATTTTTGAAGTTGAAAATATTTTTTAAAACAAACTTAAATTTTTTTTTTGGGGGTGGTGGGGGGAGGTGCTGGTAGGGGGTGGGTGGGGTGGGGGGCTGGGTAGGGGTGAAAAAAATGAAATTGAAAATATTTTTGAAAAACAAACTTAAAATTATTTTTGGGGTGGTGGTGGTGGGGGGGGGGGGGGCTGGTGGGGGGTCGAGGTTAGGGGTGAAAAAATGATATTTTGAAATTGAAAATATTTTTTAAAAACAAACTTAAATTTTTTTGGGGGTGGGGTGGGGTTGGGTGGCAGGGGGTGGGTTGAGAGTCGGGGTGAAAAATTGAAATTTTGAAGTTGAAAATATTTTTTGAAAACAAACTTAATTTTTTTTGGGGGGATCGGGGCTGGTAGGGGGTGGGTGGCGTGGGGGATGGTATGGGGTGGGTGGGGGGGTCGAGGGTTGGGGTGAAAAAATAAAATTTTGAAGTTTAAAATATTTTTTAAAAACAAACTTAATTTTTTTTTTTGGGGGTGGTGGATGGGGGGTGTTGGTAGGGGGTGGGGGGGGGTTGGGTAGGGGTGAAAAAAATGAAATTTTGAAATTGAAAATATTTTTGAAAAACAAACTTAAAATTATTTTTGGGGTGGTGGTGGTGGTGGGGTGGGGGGGGTGGGGGGTCGAGGGTAGGGGTGAAAAAATGAAATTTTGAAATTGAAAATATTTTTGAAAAAACAAACTTAAAATTATTTTTGGGGGGGTGGTGGTGGTGGGTGGGGGGGGGAGGGGGCGTGGGTGATCGAAGATCGGGATGAAAAATAAAAAATTGAAGTTGAAAATATTTTTTAAAAACAATAAAAAAATTGATCGGGGGAGGGGCAAGGGTAGTGGGTGGGGGTAAAAAATAAAAAATTGAAATTAGAAATATCTTTTAAAAATAATTTTTAATATTTTTTGGGAGGGGTGGGGGTAGTGGTAGGGGTGAGGGTGGGTAAAAAAATTGAATTTAAAAACAAGCTTTAAATTTATTTCTTTTAGGGGGGTTGGTTGGAAGGTAGGGACAAAATAAATTGATTTTTTCAACAAAAAGTAATTGTAGTTTGAAGTTGAAAGAGAGTTTTGGAAAATATTTTCCTTAAGTTTTGAAGGGAAGTCATTTTCCTTAAATTTGAGGAAAATGAGTTGATTTGAAAAATATTTTCCAAAACATTTAACCCAACTAAACATGAGAAAATTGGAAAATGTTTTCCGTCATACCAAACACACCCATAGTTTAGTGCTTTTTAGAATCAATCAGATTAAGTTGAGGGTGAAAACAAATTTCTACTAGGAAAGAATGTTTGATCAAGGAAAATTAAATGTCAGACACGGACCTATTCAACAAATAAGAAACAATACTTCCTCTGCTAAACTAAATAGATGTCGGGAGTGAAAAGTCAAGTCAAATACTGGTTTATATGCCTTTCAACAATTATCTACCAAGGCTGTGAAGTTGTACTCGTGTTGTTCCTGTCTTGGAACTAGGGGCTTCTTATTGACCATACTAAAATGGTTGTAGTCTTTTTCATATTATAGATCTTGTTGCATAATCAACATCAGCCTGCCAAATATTTCATTTTCCTTGTTAAATGGTTTAACCTCTTCCCATTTGTTGTTTCTTATTTGTTCCTGTCTTGGGTGCTAGGAGCTTCTTGTTCAATAGCTCATCACTGTTCTTTTTAGATGCTGACTGTTTTTTATATTTTTCCATACACTAATCTGCAGATAGCTAAAGCTATCATTTTTACTTGTGCAGGAGCTTTTGTTTGTTTAGAGAAGACAATTCAAATAGGTTATCTGTCAAACTCAACTAATTTTATGAAACACATTTAAATTAATTGATTTAGAGTTTGTTTGGATGGGCTTTTAAACTGGTCAAACTGACTTAAAAGTCAGTTTTTGACTTATTAAAGTGTTTGACAATTATCAAAGTGACTTATTTTAAGTCAAAAATGACTTATTTTAAGCCAAAAGCTAAAAGCTAGGGGAGGGGAGTTTTTTCTTTTTAACTTAAAAACCCTTTTATGTTGACCAAATATATTACCTTTTTGCCCTTAATTCTTTTATACAATTTTCAAATTGCCCATATTGAATTATTATTATTACTATTACTATTATTATTATTATTATTACTATTACTATTACTATTTTTATTATTATTATTATTATTATATTATTATTATAATAATAATAATATAATAATAATAATAATAATTATTATTATTATTACTATTACTATTACTATTACTATTACTATTATTATTTTATTATTGTTATTATTATTTTATTTTATTATTATTACTATTACTATTTTTATTATTATTATTATTATTATTTATGAAATATGAATTTATATTCCTCTTATAAGGTGGTAAAGAAATATGTAAATGATAGAAACATATTATTACTTATGGATGTAAAACATAAATTAATTTTGTTTTAATTTTTTTTTAAGTATAAAAACCTTAAATTAATCAACTTTTTATCATGTTAACAGCTTAAAGGGTGTTTCAGACATTTTGATAAAAAAAAGTGTTTACCAACACTTATTTGCCGAACACATCAACAACTTTTTTTTCAACTGCAACACTTTTATCCAAACACATAACTACTTATTTTAAAAATAAGTTCCAGCACTTTAAAAAGTTACTTTTTTTAAGTCAATCCAAACGGGCTCTTAATATGGTTCAACTTATCATTCCTTTACTCCCAGACGACAAAATTCTTTAACTGGATTCGGAGCACCTGTTCGAACTAACATGAGAGTTGGTGGTATAATTATCATTTCCCTTTACATTATTAATGTTTGTTATTACGTAATTTGTATATAAGATAATATAGTGTTTTAGTTTTAATGATTGACAGACTTTAAGTATTATTTTATAAATTTTGTGATAATAAATTTCTGCGCGTGACACGAATTATTTTACTAGTATTAAAATATTTAACAAGTGAAATAGAGAGGTGAATAGTAATTCTCCAAATTTAGAGAACTACTATTCACCTCTCTATAAATAGAGAATAGAGAACTTTTTAGAGGTTGACTGGAGACCCAATTCTCTATTTTACTCTCCAAATATAAAGAATGCAGAGTAAAATAGAGATAGATTGGAGATGGTCTTAGTTATTTAACTCTTTTTTAATTCTCTACTTTTTCTTTCTTCTTTTTATGTTTCTTTGTTGATTTAAATTTTTTCAAATTATTTTATTCTTTATTTTTTTACACCATAATATGATATTTACTAAATCTTTATTTTATGTACTTCCTTTCTCCTTCTTTCTTTCTCGTTTATTTTTTGATATGTCTGTTTTTTTCTCTACATGTTTTCTCATTTAATTTCATTTGATTATTTTTACGTTTTTATTTCTGTTTAATTTTTTATTTGCTTTGATCTGTAATATTATAACAAAATATTCATATATTGTTACAAAATCATTAAAGTTTCGTACATTTATTCATGTACAATCAATCATATGCATAATGCTAAGTAAAAATAGAATAAGTGCATAGGAAAATAAATAAATATAAAAAGTGATATCAAATTGATCTTGCTGGAATAATTTGTTTTGTCCAATTTTCAAGTCTATAGAAATCATATACGTACCCCACTCTCTTAAATAATTTAAATGTGTTTGTAATCCTTAATTTTTGAAAAATAATAATATTTTTTTAATATAATTTTTATTTATAACAATAATAAAATTTAAACGTCAAAAAGACGATAGCAATGTTTCTATAATGAACACAAACATATTAAATAAACAAGCGTGTCAAATTGAAGCTGCTCTTTATATAAAGAGAATTACCAACTCAAACGCATTTCACGCTGCTCTCTTCCCCAAAAAAAAGTCACTGATTCAGTTTTTCTCTACTTTAGTAATGGCTAATGGGAGTGTAGTTGGCTTTGTCGGTTTGAAATTGGTTACTTCGCTTCTTCATTCGGGTTAATCTCTTCAGCCACTCGAGGTTTATTACTCTTTTTTTGTTGATAAATTCTACTTCTTCTTGTTATGTTTCTTGATTTTCGATCATTCTAGTTGTTTCTTTCTTATTTTTCATCAAGATTGACAGTGTTTTTCATCAAAATTCTGAAATTTAAAGATTTAGTTTAATGCATTATTTCATCTTCTTTTTTTATTGGGTGTTGGTGGTTAGGCGGGGGATGACATGTACCTTATGTAGTGCATTATTATCAAGATTTAGTCAATGATTGATGAAGATCTTAAATTAAAATTTCAAGAAACTTAAAGATTTTGGTTAATGCTTTAGATGACTAATCGTTTAGGTACATTATGCAGCGATTTCTAATAGTAAAATAAGTTCTCATGGGTGGTTTACTTGAACTAATCTCTCTCTGTGTCTTATTCGTATTGCGATTTCAAGTTTTTTAGTTAAGTGAATGAAACTCTCCCCCTCTTCTCTCTCTGGCATTAAAGTAAGCTTCCTCTTCCTCTTTTTTCAATGGATATTAGGGAAAATTACAAGAATATACTATTTAAGACTTTAGTTAACAATATATACATATACTCTTTTTTTTATTTACAAAACTAAGTTTTTAATTACAAACATAACAAAATATTTAATTTTTTATTTGTTAAAAATATATTTGGTATCCGTATCTATTACCTTTTTAAGGGGAGGTTATGTGCTAATTTTATGGGATTGATAATTATTGTTTACTTTTTTTGATTTTTTCAACCACAGTTTTACTCTTTTACATTACTTTGCTTTTCTATATATTGATTTTCTCTCTTAATTTTTTATTCAATTAAATCATATTATTAATGGAAGCCTTCTCTCACATTTTTACCATTATTTTCATCTAGGTAAAAAACATGTAGGTTTCATCAAGTATGCATATTGTTTTCACAATTATAACTGCATCGTAGTCTCACCAAATATGCAACCATGTAATATATAAACATACATACATACCAATTATATAACCATCATTTTACCAATAATTATTACTCCCTCCGTCCCATTTTATGTGACAACATTTCCTTTTTGGACAGTCCCAAAAAGAATGTCACATTTTCATATATGGCAAATACTTAAACATACAATTTCTCTTTTACCCTTATTGGTCCCACTTAATTTTAAAAATAATACTCCTATTTTTTTTTTTATAAAAGGTCATCAATAATTAATTGAACCTGCAATTTCTCTTTCCTATAAAACAATGTTGCAGCTTTTTGTTGTATATGACTAGAATACCAATCTTTACTCCATTTTTTTTTTTCCTGAGCATTTTGTACTCTTTCCAATTTGTATAAAAAAAATTTGTCCACAGTTATTATTCGTTCTTTCTAATGCTTCACCAAGAAAAAAAAAGATTTGCATTTTTACATTACATTGCTTTCTTATTTTTTCACTAAAATTTTGGGGCTTTCACTTAGTAAGGTAATGATTTTAATGAAAAGTATTATAACATGAATTTGATGATTATCTTAAATTACAATCTATTTAAGGAAAATCAAAAACTTCAAATTCAAACTAGATAGTGAACAATTCAATAATAATCGTTTCGTAACATTGCTCTCAACTTACAATTTTAATTCAATATCAATGAAATTTTAAGATTAAATTAGCAATAAGGCACCCAAAAAAATGGTGACAATGCTAAAATAATTCATGCTACTTTGGATCCATCGTAGTTTTTGTTATACTTTCATAACTAATAGCCATAAGTACAAAAATTACATATGGTCACCATGATTGTAAACAATAGTAATGCTCCTAATATACTTGACAAAATATCATTTCAACTTTCACATATTAAAGGAGTACAAAAATTACATGGTGATCACCTTGGATGTACACAATACTAGTACTTTCTCTACTTATAAAACATCATTTCATTTTTCATTTGTTAAAATTTTCTATGTTCCTGCAAAATTATCAAATGTGCATTTCAAAAAAGAAAATTTTGCCATACTAGTAATCCCTATCATTGTTGAAGTAAAGTTGAAACATGATTGACAATACCAATATCACAACAAAGTTGAAGAGGAAGATTGTCTTCTCTTTCTAATCTGTTTTTGTTCAAATGGGGCACTTTGTAGTTGTTGCCTCCATTATCTTTCATCACCTCAATCATACAAGATTGTAAAGTAAGAAATACATGGTTGAGTTGTTCAACCTTCATTTCATCAAAAGATCTTTCCACTACTTCCACTAATTCATCAACATTTGAAGGATCCTTTTGATATTGAAGAGATTGGATTGCTCTAAAAAATCCAAGGTCCAACACATTTAAATCAGGGTTGTTAGGTGGTTGAAAACATAGTCTAATGTCGAATCCATCTTTTTGGGCAGCTTCAACAAATTCCATATGTGGTCTTGCATTATCTTGTTGTATAAAGATAGGAATGTTTGAATCCGAAGCTGGCCATTTTGATCTAATGGCAGGAAGAACTTTCTCAATCAAACAAGCCCTAGTGATATCTTTAGTTACTGATAGAATGAGTTTTGTTTTGAGAGTTCCTGCTGTTCGATTTTTGCTATTCCGCTTAGCTGGTTCCTTAACTACAAATGGAAAAATACCTATTTTTCCAGAAAATAGCTCAATTCTATTTTCATCAAATCGAGGACGAGCAACAGCAGCCATAAACACAACTTTTGGAATAAAGTTTTTACTTTTGCAAGAGCGATATGGATCAGGCTCATGTTCTTCAGGAAGTAGGTAGTACCTTTCATTCTTTTTAGATAAAAAAACCATTTCTCGTCAATGTGAACATAATTAAACATATTCACAAATTTTGGATTTTGTCTGAATTGTACTCTGATCAAGCATTAAAAGCAAAATTCAAGTCGTACCTTCTTATTTTGTTCGGTTAGTTGAGGCTTAATGGAATTGGTATGTGTCCGAATAGTGCCATCTTTTATTCACCGAAAGACAGTTGATTTTGCCATGTTCATCGCAAAAGCCAGAGATCGAATATTTGTTTGACGACAAATGGAGTTTCTTTAACTTGATAAATGTCAACTTCCACCCGTTTTCTTTCAACTCTACCTACAAGTTTCGAAGACACATCCAACGGTGTACCATTATCAACAAATGATTTACATTGCTTCCAAATGCGTAAAATAGTTCTTCTTGATTTGTTGAACAAAATACCAATTTGTTTTAAAGATCCATATTTGAGTTTTCCTTCCTTGCTTTCTTTCAAAAGCCAATCTACAATGGCTTGATGTTCTTCAAATTTTAATCGCTTGTTTTTAGTGGTTGGATCTTCCGAAAATACAACTATACTCATTTCTGGAGTATAAGCAAGAAACGAAAAAAAAAGGAGATGAAAGAAAACAATACAATAGTCCTGCAAGAGAAATTATTCAAAGGTAATAGAGGGAAAAAATGACATGAAAATATAAAAAACATCTCTCTTAATAGCACTTGCTGAAAAAATTCAAACAAAATTATGATTTCGCGCCATAAATTTAATGTGATTTTGGCGCCACAAATCTAAAAATAATTGGAATCAAGAAGAGGATTTTTTTTCAAAAAAAAAATATGGTTTGCAGAAATTGGACGATCTTCTTCATAAGAGGAAGAGAGAGTGGTTTCTAAACTACTTAGAAAGAGAAAAGAGAAAATGAGTAATTTTGGAAATATAAATCTGAAAAGTCACTGTGCTTTTATCTTTTTTGACTTTAGCCTTCACCAATATATAGGAGAGAGAAAATGAGTGTACTTTTAAAAAAAATTTGGAATGCGTATATTTTGTTTTTAAATTTTAATATTATTATTTTTTGAAGGGCAATTCGGCAAACATTTAAAGTCTTCATCTATTTCTTAAACTCCGTGCTCGGTCAAATGTTGCCACATCACTAAAAAAAATCAGCGTTTACCGACGGACGAAATCCGTCGCTAATATATGATATTCCGTCACTAAATAGGATTAGCGACAGATTAGCAACAGATTTTTGACTGTTGCTATTTCGCTCGTTAATAATCTCTTAGTGACGAAAAATAAGTTCCGTCACAAGTTTAGCAACGTTTTAGCAACGAATGATATCCGTCACCACTTGTTAGCGACGGACTAATCCGACGTTATATTTATACTATTCGTTGCTGATTTCTTAATTCATTCTGTCATTTTTGATAAATTCAGAACGAAATTTTCATCACTAATCCGTCGCAACATATTCCGTCGTTTAAGCCAGCACATTTGGCGCTAAAAAGTTCGTTGCTAGTCTGTCACTATCATTCCTTTATCTAGCAACAACCCAATAGATGCTATATTTGTTGCTAAAATTTTTTCTAGCAAATCTAATTTATTTTGTTTTAAAATTACACTGCTGAAATAAATAAAATTAAAATTACTAAATACCCCTTATATAATCCACATTCATATATATAAAATAATATTAATAGATGGTTCAAAATATATAGAAAATCAAAATCACATATTTTAGATCCCAAACATCCAAAGTAATAAGTGATCTTGAGCCTGCAAGTAGTGATCTTGAGCTTTACAAATTGATCTTTCCTATTGCTTGCATCTGACGAAGTTTCCAGAGTTGAAGGCAATTCTAGAGTTGAAACTACAACTATATATTGATTGTTGTTAGAGGAAGGTGTCTTCACCACAACGCCTAGTAAGTGATCTTGAGCCTGCACGTAGTAAAGGGAAAGAAAAACATTTGCACATGTTTTGGACTTTTCATGTGAATCTCTTTAGTGGAAATATGAACTGTGAGGCAAAAATCATATACTTCCAATGTCCAAGTAACCTCATGAGATGGGCAAAAGTAGACAGGATTATGATACTTCTAAAATGAACAGTGATCAGAACAAACCGCAAAAGGAATTGGAACACTTTCAGTTTTCAAAACAAGTCATCTCAAACTGCAAAATATGGTGAAATATGCACATAAATCAAATTTGGTATATGCTTCAATAGTCAAGCAAAGACAAACAACTATTTTAGGAAAATAAATAAAGTTCTCAATTAATCGGCTAAATCAAAGTTACAAGGAAGAAATCAAGTTAAGGCAGTTCAAAATATAAAATCTTACTATATAAACGAAGAAAATATAAAATCCATTGGTTAAGATTATAACCTGGATACTAAATCAATAATACTCACAATAGAAGCAACAATCATGAACTTTGAACAGAAAATTTCAACCTAGATATGCTTTCTAAGAATCAACACGTTGCAAGACAAATTAGTACACAACGACAGATTAAAATGCTTGAATTCTCAAACTAATCAATTCACGATAATTAAAAAACAAGAGCGAAGAGTTGAAATGGTCATAAAATTAATTAAAAAAAACTTACCTGGATGGATCTTAACAGATCCGTTAAGATCCATCTCAAAGTTTTCAAAATCTTTGTCGGAGTGCGTTGTTCATTCTCGCCGGAAAAAGAAGAGGGCGCTGGCTTTGCTTCAGCCTGATGGTTGTTCTCGTCGAAAAAGAGAGAAAAGAGGAGGCGAAGAGGGCTTCGCTGGTTGGAGGCGCCGGTCGCTGCTGCTGCGCTGCCTCACTACTGCTATTTCGACGGACACGGAGGAGCTGGTGGCGACTGCTTGCTTCGTTGTTGCTGTTGTCTCTGCTATTGGTCCTCGCCGGTGGAGGAGGAGAAGAAGAAATAAGAGTGAGGGGAAGAGGAAGGAGGGATGTAGCGACTGGAGAGAGGAAGAGAGAGGTGGCGCAGGAGATGGCGAGACACTCGGTGTCTCGGAGCGGCGGAGGCTGCTGGTGCGGCGCTCCTCTTGGAGAGAGGAAGAGAAAGAATGAAGGACTTTTAGGGTTGGGTTTTTTTAGATAGTTTAAAATAGGAAGGTATGGGTTGCTGAATTTGGACCGCTGATTTGAATGAAACGAACGGGCACGATTAGATCTTGAGTTTCATCAAGGTAACAGACGGACGAGATTAAGAGAGGTTCTAAAGAGTTGAAACAAGATTGTGCCTTAGAAAATATAACATAAAAGTAATTTTGCAACGGACTAAGCAACGGATTATAACATTCGTCGCTATCAAATAAATATATTTATTTATAATAAATTTTAACGACGGATTTTTTCGTCACTAATGTTTATTAGGAAAATATATTGGACTGGTTTTAAGAGTCGCCACTTAATTTTTAAAGAAAAATTAAGAAAACCATTTTTTCAATTGATTAAAACAGGGAATCAATTGAAAATACAAGGAGGTTCGAGGGTTCATTTTTTCTCACTCTTCCTTCAAGCCCTGTACCAACTGTGTCTATTTCGTCCTGAATTTCCTCAATTGTCGGGGTGATTTCCGTGGTTCCAAATCGGAACACCATTTTCTCGTTGTCCCAATAACCTGTGAGGACTTCAATCTGTTCGGGCCACCCAACCATGTTGACGAGTTCTGTTAGGGCTCTTATATATTTGTTGAGGACCCTTTTGTGGACCACAGTGAGGTCGTTGTACCACATCTTGAGCAAAACTGGGGCTTCCACTACCATGTCGAATTTGGGGAATCGATCCATACCTACAAAACAAAGCACGGTTAAGATTCCCTCCCCCAATTTGGCAACAATCAGGTTTCTACACATACATTTTTCAAATGTCAAATAATATGATATGTCGTTAGGTCGTGGACCTTGGACATAATTTTTGGCGGTTTTACTAATGGACTTAATACGCCTTGGGTATTAAGCCGTCTTAGGCTAATGCTTAGATTTGGATTTGGTTTCGCTCTACTCTAGGTTGACTAGAATTGGTTTAGAAATGACGGTTACCCGAGTCGGACAAACAACGGGGTGAAGTCTAATAAACGACGTTGAATGACCACAAGCCAACTATTCGTTTATCACTTCCAAAGAATTTAACTTGTGTTTTTTTTTTTTGAAGGACAGCCGTGGTAAGCCACGTAACCGCCTTTTTCCTAATGCAATCTATTTGCCGTATGGCGGAATCGGGTGCCATGAATGCCACAATTAATATAAGATACGAAATTTAAACAAGCAAACAGTTAAACACAAGGAGGTTCAATAGATTAAAACAGGGAATCAATTGAAAATACAAGGAGGTTCGAAGGTTCATATTAGTGTTCTAGGAAGGGTTTGAAAGCACTTAGAACACCCGCTAATGCGGTTATCCGACGATTAATTATTCGGCTAAAATAGATTAACTTAACTTAAATTGCAAATTTGAACTATTTTATGGTTGAGACCATTAAAGAAAATGTTGAATATTATCTAAGCAAAATATTTTATAAACTTATTCTTTAGGTTTTGTAAGAGGTGATCGGTTTAGTTAAATTGTTAAATCAAAATGAACGTCTTTCGGGGATTTGAATTTTTTGACCTTAAGGTTAGCGGCAAATATTAACAAGCATACAAATACAATAAAATAAAGAGGGAAAGGGAGTTGGACCCAAATCTAGTTTCTGTCCGCCTGGACCAGTATTTGGGCCCATTTTCGTTTTGGGTCTTCGGCCCATTTAAGTTGCACCTGTCCTAGACTAGCACATAATAATCATTCTTTCTTTGGGACCTTAGGCCCAATTTCCCACCTGTCCTAAAAACTAACAAAGTAATGGCAAAATTTAATGACAAGGGCTTAGGCCCAAAATAACAAAATACAAAAGAAATGGAAGGTGGGCCTTTGACCCAATCTTTCCAAAAAAAAAGATTTGATGCATATTCTTTCGAGCTCCGAGACCCGTTCGTCAGTTTCAAAGCTGGTTGTCTCGGGAAGAAGGAACTTGAGCCTTTATGGCTCTCTCAAAATGCG